CAGTATAGAAAATGGTATTCCTCAAGGGAGTTCAATCTGCCCGATATTATTTAACGTTATGATAAATGACATTTTTAGTAATTTGGATGGATGCATAAAATCTGCGCTATATGCAGATGACGGGGCCATATGGATACGGGGAAGAAATGTTCCATACTGTATGTGTTTGGAAAGATAGGGAAAGCTATAAAGAAAGTGGAGAAGTGGTCATACAACTGGGGTTTCAAGCTGTCAGCAAGCAAATCTTGCTTCATGAAATTTACGAATAAACGCAAGATGGAGACTGAGAAGCTTACATTATATGGAAAGCCGATGAATGAGGTCAATGAATTTAAATATCTGGGGCTTTGGTTAGATAATAAATGTACATGGAAAACTCATATTAAACATTTGGAAACAAAATCCCAAAAAGTGTTGAACCTATTAAGAGCAGTGGCTGGATGTGACTGGGGGGCAGACAAACAGGCATTAATCGACATCTATAGGGCAATCATGAGGACAACTCTGGATTACGGGTGTATAATATGTGCAGCAGCAGCAAAAACGTCATTACTAAAAATGGATAGGTTACAATATAAAGCGTTACGGTTGTGTATAGGTGCAATTAAGTCAACCCCAACTAATGCAATATTAGTTGAAGCAGGAGAGACTCCATTGGAGCTAAGAAGAGAGAAAATTGCTCTTGCTTATTGGGTCAGGTTAAAAGGAAGTGGGGAAGGAAATGACACAAACAAAACATTACAGGAGTGCTGGGAATATTCCAAGTTTCAGGGGCATGGGTTTGGATGGACAAGTAAAGGAAAAATAAGGATATACGGCATGCATGAGTTAGAGTTTTCACCATCAAATCCATTCAGTAGTGTACCCCCATGGCTTTTTCCTATAGAGTGGTGAAGTCACGCCCATCTACTTCCGGTCCATGGGACCTTATTTCTGAAAAATTATGTATTGAAGTCAATGGAGAGAGAAAACGTATCTTTCGATCCCTTTTGAATTGTGCCACGAATTACACATATGATGTTTGTCAATCTTAAAAAATCATTTCCATGTGAAAAAAGTCACAGTTTGTCGTAAAACTGTTGAAATATAAGACTATGAAAAATACGCAACTAGAAAGACTACAAATCCCAGAGTCGCGTAAGTGATGTCATAATTGTTTTCCTCCACTAAATATAAGAGATATATTAATTTTAATAAATAAATAAAAACACTTCGTTTAGTTTCGGAAATTCTTCTTTGCTGTGTGTTGCTGCCGGCCCATCTCTCCCCCATTCTCGAGTATTTTACAAAAGAGTGAAACAGCGTCCCTCTAGATGTTATGGTAAAACAGTAGATTGCACTCACTGTTGCGAGAGGAGGCCAGCCGAAAATTGGCTTCCCTTGGTGAGGGATTGACCAATCAGACAAGGCTCACGTCATGCCCCTGCCAACCTGTGATTAGTCAGAGCCATGCCAAGCTCACAATCCAATCAAATCGCATCAATTTAGTGGTGCAGTGACGCGTCCTAAAACCCGGAAGTAAGCTGCGCTCGCGTTTCCTCGACAAAAAAGCAATGGGATTTCTCTCCATAGGATTTTGGAAAAGAGCTGGAAATAAGGTCTGTGGAAAACGAACCTGTTAGATAAATGCACGTTTTGTTCAGCCGGATAATATCCACATGTCTACTCTACTTTTATAATTTTCGAATCATAAATCTAATCGATAGATAGATAGCGTCACTGCACCACTCTCACCGCCGTTTAGAAAGTAGCAAGCAACTGAAGCAAGTGCAATTATGGAGGATGGAGATTTGGAGTATTTAATCAAAAATAATTGTACTAAACTTCCGCTACAGCAGCAACTAAAACTAGAGAATGCAATTCCTGAAGAAATTGCTAGTGGGAATGTTGTATGCTGAAAAGCTGACGCTAAACTGCTATGCTGAAATGTAATGTGCAAGAAGAAAGTGAAGAATTTAGATTGAAATGATACATGAATGTGTGATGAGTGAAGAAAAGAAAGTAAAAAGGCTTGGAAAAGCAGCAGAATATTTGAACTGCAAACTTTTGAACTAACTTGATGGCGAATGATCTGTCGCCATGGCAACGGCATTTGATGACACCCCATAATACGCTTAGATGCGTTGATGGCTGCATCGTTACCAAACCTGTGAAGTTTTGGGCCGTTTGGAAAATTTTCACTGAAGTTATGAGAAAACCGTGTTTCATGCTACGAGCATTGTGTTGCCATGGCAACGGCATTTGAAGAAACCCCATAATTGACGTAGAGCTGTTGAGGGCTGGACCGGTGATATACAAGCGAAGTTTGGGGGACGATCGGACCATTTCCATTGGACTTACAGCGACATCGTGCTTCATGGCGAGTGGTCTGTCGCCATGGCAACGGCATTTGATGACACCCCATAATATGCTTAGATGCGTTGATGGCTGCATCGTTACCAAACCTGTGAAGTTTTGCGCCGTTTGAAGCATTTTCACTGAAGTTATGAGAAAACCGTGTTCCATGGCGAGCATTGTGTTGCCATGGCAACAGCATTTAAAGAAATCTCAAAACTGTCTCGTAGATGTCTTCACGGCTGGACTGTTACACACATGTGAATTTTGAGCACTTTTTGAACATTTTCATAGGAGTTAAAGGGACATCGTGTTTTATGGCGAGGGATGCGTTTCCATGGAAACGGCATATGGTGAGATTTCAAATTTGGCGTAGAGCTGTTGAGGCATGGACCGGTGATATACAAGTGAAGATTGGGGGACGATTGGACCGTGTCCCTTGGACTTACAGCGACATCGTGTTTCATGGCGAGTGGTCTGTCGCCATGGCAACGGCATTTGATGACACCCCATAATACGCTTAGATGCGTTTATTGCTGCATCGTTACCAAACCTGTGAAGTTTTGGGACGTTTGGAACATTGTGTGTGTGAGAGAGAGAGAGTGTGTGTGTCTGTGTGTGAGAGAGAGAGAGAGAGAGAGCGAGAGCGAGAGCGAGAGCGAGAGAGAGCGCAGACTGCTGTCAGAGTGATGACATCATCGTGTTCCATTACACAGGTGTTTATAGTTGAGCTAACGAGCTCTGTAGAGATCAAAGGTTTGCATTGTTCTGAATGAGAGATAAAGCTCTTACATGTGAAAGTTTTGTGGAAGACCCATAACAGATATCTGTGAAATTTCAAAACGTGAAGCATGTCAAGGAAGTTGAGTATCTGAAGTGTAATTTTTGTGTACTTTCGGGTTAATAATGTGGCCTTTTTTTGCAGTTTAACTAAAGGTGTGCGGCTGCTGCTGTGAGGAAATATCAGCCTGAAATTACAATGGGTTTTAATGGAGACATGTTGAACGTTTTTGTCACTTCATGCCCTCAAGAGGCATTTTGCTTAATTATTTGTCATTTGTCAAGCTACGAGATGTTTTCCTACGTTTGTCATGAAAAATTATGTCTCAGGAATGTAGGGTTTGGGAATTATGGCAGTTTTAAAAAAATATATGAAGGCAAATTTCAAGATTTCCTACCCTCTAGCTGTGACATCACGCACTCTAGTTAATGTTAAAATCTGAAGAAAGCCTCTTTACCAAGGTCTGAACAATGTTTAATATCTCTAAAAGTAAGAATCAGATTTAAAAGTTGTGTTACACGAATAATGTCAGAAAGATGTGTAACATTTTAAAGTTTGAATGAGGTTTCTGAGTGAAAGTATGAATTAGCAGTTGAAGTCGCATGAAGATTGTTCAAGTCTGAAGATTTGCTGTATCAGCATTCCCACTAAATTAAATCTGATGACAGGCCAATGCCCAAACTGGAGCTGTGTACAGCGAGGAAAAAAGGAGCGAATCGGACGTAAAACTTTAAAGGTCTCCTGATTTAGTTTGTGAATTAATGCTTATTAGAGTTTCGGCTGGAGAGTGCGTGCGGGCGGACCTGTCGGTTAGAAAGCAGGCGTGTGTAAGTCCTGCATCTGTATGATACAAATGTGTGTAAAATGATACTGGGCGCTGTAATCACTCATCTGGTTACAGCGTTACATTGACCACCCCCCCCCGACCCCAAAAAAAGGACGTAGTATTATTGGCTTCCCCTAATTTTTTCCCCACGCCACGCTACTGGATTACAGTGGAGGTCAGACCAGATAGGGTGGTGATATGCACAGATTCATTATCCAGTTTACAAAGCACACAGTCAACAACAACTGCCAGAGAAGACATACTCATAGAAATCAATCACAGCCTGTTAAGACTTCACAGAAGCGGCAGTAGATAGATAGATCTGCAGTTCTGCTGGGTGCTTGCTCATGAGGGGGGTGAAAGGGAACGAGTGTGCTGATAGATTAGCAAAAAGTGCACTACAAAAGGAAATCACATTACCAGTTAAACTTGGAAACGGAAAAGGAAAAGCAGTAATTAAGAAGAAAGGGATGGAGATCTGGCAGAAAAGGTGGGAGAAAGACCAGAAAGGCAAAGAGTATCATCAAGTGCAAAAGACAATTACAATTAATATTTATAAAGAAAGAAACAGAAGGGAGGAAATCATGATAGCTAGGCTCAGACTAAATCACACAGCATTGAATGGTACTCTGTATGTCATGGGGGAAAAGTGACAGTGACAAGTGTGGGAACTGTGGAGTTAAAGAACATGTGGAACATATTTTATTACATTGTGTCACCTACAGAGTTGAAAGAGGAAAATTAAGGGATAACGTTTTAGAGGCAGAGAGCGAGTGGAATGTAGCTGCCGGTATTCTGGGAACAGAAGGAGAAGGAGTAAGAGCTACCAGAAAGGCACTGTTCACCTTTTTGAGGGAAACTGGGATAGGGAAAATAATCTAACTGTTTTTGTTTTGTTTTATTTATTTTATGGTTTCTTAGTTTTATGTTTTTCGATATGCTGGTTTATTAGAGGGATGACATGATGATACACACTCGTGTACAGTAGGTGGCGGTATGCAACCAAAAGCTGTTTGCGATCCGCCAATATTAAAAAGAGAAGAAGAAGAAGAACCTAAACATCATCTGCGTGTTCATGTTTGTTTAAAGGAAAGGCAATGACGGCTAACGAATTTCTTACAGTTTGACTGCTAAAATGACGTCGTCTGCCATTAGCTTCAGTAAGCTAGCTTAAAGTAGCCTACCTTTATCAGATTCAGAACGTTTCTTTCATTGTATGCTGCACAGCATTTGCAGGAGGTAAGTTAAATCCCAACGAGCCTGTGTTTTGATTGAGAAGCTTCTCTAATGGTGTCGTGCTTTGTTTTCTATCATTTAATATGTGGTTATTGTGTCTTAGTTCATGGCAAGGAACTTGTTTTGGTTTGTTATGTCTTGCTAACGTTCACGTGGTATCTTCAGCTTTTCACCATGTTGACTCTGTTTTATCTGACTGCAGCTCATCTTTCTTTAGAGTTGTTACCCACAGTTATCTGGATACCACTTCAGTACTTTCTTCCAAGAACAAGGCCAAGAACAAGAACCAGTCAAACCATCATGTCTGAGAAAAAACGAAAGTCTACATCTGCTGCTGCTGTTAAAGAACCCAGTGCTAAGCAGCAGAAGCTGGATCCCACGAAGGAGAAGGACTGGCTGCAGGACAGTCTGAAGCAGCAGAGGACAAAGAACAAGCAGATGAAATTCAACAAAGAACGCCTCCGCTTCATATCTAACACTGAGAGGATAAAGCAGGGCTCAGAGGGTGTTCTGTACTGGATGTCACGAGACCACAGAGTACAAGGTAAACGCGTAAAGCAACTACCAGTAAAGTAACAAGATATTTTTTATTAACTTGTGTCCTCTCAGTGGTCAACATGTTTTGTTTGTTTCAGATAATTGGGCTCTGATCCATGCCCAGCAGCTTGCTCTGAAGGAGAAGCTTCCTCTGCACGTCTGTTTCTGCCTGTTTGTCCCAAAATCAGAGCTGTCCACCCTGAGACATTACAGCTTCATGCTGAAAGGTCTGAAAGAAGTCGAAAAGGTATTCACTACAAGAATCCGTTTATTATCCTGCAAAGTAGGTTTCACATACAAGGAGTAAGCAATAGAGTATTGATGCATACCATTTAAATAAAAGCACGTTTTGCAAAATCTAAAAAACATGTACTTAATTCCATTAGTACATCAACCAGGTAAAGAAACACCAAGTTCTTTCTTTTGAAGTTATTTTAAAGTAAACCCTTTAAAGCCTCTAGCTTTTCGTTGAATGTTGTATAGCTGAAACAATTGAATGATTATTGGATTGACAGCAAATTAATCAATTACAATTCTGATTTATTCATTGTAAAGGTGGAAGTTAAAGTAAAAATGTCAACAAAAACAAGTAGATTACAGATATACGCTTCTGTATCTGATTATACAGGTATTTTTTGACAATTGCATGTGATTTTAATGACCAACAGATAAAGTTAAGGAAAACAAACTAAATTTGATATATAGAATAAAACACATTTCAAAATTAGAAACATCAATAATACAATGAATCATTATTAGCAGCCTTAGTGTGAGAATTAAAATAATAACTAAAAGAAGTATACCTCTAGTTAAATGTGTATTTTGTGATGATTGAGAGGCACTTAGAAGACTCACAGGTTACATTGATACTATGACATTTATTTGCACTTTTACCCTCAAATTAATCTTTATTCTGCTCCCACCAAACAGAATTGCAGATCCTTAGACATCCAGTTCCACCTGCTCCATGGTTCAGCTGGAGACGTTCTCCCCGGCTTTGTGTCTGATCGAGAACTGGGCGCAGTGGTAACAGACTTCTCCCCCCTCAGAGAGCCACTGCAGTGGTTGGAGGATGTTAAAAAGACTCTTCCAAAAGATATTCCCCTCATACAGGTACACACTCTCACTCAGTGTCGATAGGATGCTCTGAATTTTGGTTATTCGACTTCTCCCCACATTTTTCACTGATTATGTCCTTGCTTTATTTCTTGTACTCGTCACAAAGAAATAGATTTAAGACAGTGTAATCACACTCTGTCTTATTGTATGCGGATTGCTTTGATTTGTGTGTATGTGTACTGACACTATTACTACTTTTCTTTATCTGTCACAAAATATATGATTTTCATTTCTGTAGGTAGATGCCCACAATATTGTCCCCTGCTGGGTAGCCTCACCTAAACTTGAGTACGCCGCCAGGACAATCAGAGGAAAACTCACAAAGCTTCTCCCGCAGTTCCTCACAGACTTTCCTCTGGTAGAAAAACACCCCTACACAACGGCAAGAACCGCCAAAGTAAGTGCTGCAGTAAGCAATATGTTAATAGGGCCCAATTCTGCTAATTTTCAGGTTCATATTTGTATTTTGTACCCCCACTGTGACATGTGAACATGCTTTAATGTTCAAAAAGTTCTCATGCTGCCTGTGCTGCAGCACCTCTTTTCACACTCTGGCCCAATCCCAAACCATGCCCTCGACCCTACCCCTCCGTGACGGAGTGAACTCCGTCTGGAGCCACACTCGCAGCTGAATGAAGTTCCCTCCATTAAGGGTTAAGGGTATAAATACAGCGCTCCGCTTTGGGACGGCCTCCCCTCTCTCCGTAGGAAACGGAAACGGACGTCATGGTGTCCAACCCACATCTCTCGGCTGCATTGACCTGCGTTGCTATCCGTCGCCTGTTAGAGGGTGCAAGGGCATGATCCGACAGAAGGCGCAGAAGGTTGAGGCGCATTTTAGCGATGTGCCAGTGGCAGGTAAACATTTCAATATTGCTAATACAACAATTCTCTTAACTTTATTTCTTATACAGTATTAACTTTGTATGTGTAATACAAATAGATATTTTTGATATATTTTGATATACATTCATTTATTGTTTCTTTCCTTATAAGCTATACGTATATTATATATCTATATAGTGTCTGTAGAATTCCAACACAGAGAAATATTGTCAGTAGTTTATATAATACAAAAGGAAAGGCTAATTTGACTCAAACACAAAAATAGTAAATCCAGAGAAACAGATAATGCTGCAGTGGTCTCAGAAATGTTTACAGAGCTGTATATATAAATATATATAAATATATATATATATATATATATATATATATATGTATATATATATGTGTGTGTGTGTGTGTGTGTGTGTGTGTATTTTATATATAAAATACAGTTTATATAGGGTGTGTATTACAAACATTTCATGTTTATAGTATTTTAACAATACTGTGTCCTGTGTTTGTCTTTTACAGGGGTGCAAAGGTCTTTACATGCAGCTCAATGCTACTGCCCCAATTATCGCCTTGTATGCCAACCCTGAAGCCTGTCTAAAGAAGGACTTTAGAGTTAAGCGCTCTAGTGTGGCTTATTTAGTGCAGATGCTTTCCTCTACAGCTTGGCCCATGGACTATCGCTCTCTGTGGTGAGTTCAGCATTCGGGATTCCCAAATCGACGGTCCACAGGATCATCAGACACGTCAGCGGGAAGATAAAGGCCAACCTGAAGACCCTCATTTCCCTGCCAACCGCAGATGAGCTTCCAGCGATTGCAGGCGACTTCTGTCAGCTTGCCAATAGTCCTGCATTTCACCATGCTGCTGGTGCGATTGATGGATGCCATATACGCATCAAACCTCCAGGAAACGAGTACCACAAAGACTACATCAACTACAAGCTGTTTCCTTCCATCCAGATGCAGGCCATCTGTGACTCAACTGGGAGATTCCTGGATGTTTTCATCGCCTATCCAGGCTCCGTTCATGATGCCAGAGTACTTCGCAACAGCCCCATCTTCAGCCAGGCACTGTTTCCCCCAGCTGGTTGGTTCCTCCTTGGGGACGGTGGTTATCCCTGCCTGGAAAAACCAGTAGCATTACTCACACCCTACAAGGTCCCTCGCGGACAGGTGCGGGCAAGATTCAACGCCCATCATGCCAGGGCTCGGTCTGTGGTGGAAAGAGCATTTGGAAGGATGAAGACTCGCTGGAGGGCCACCTTTTTCAAAGCGCTGGAGGTCAGTCCAAGCTTTGCCCCTGACATCATTGCATGTTGTGCATTTCTGCACAATCTGTGCATCAACATGAACGATGTCCTTGAGGACGCTGAAGCCTTCCCCCCTGAAGATCAGGACCAGAATCCTCCCCCTGCCGCAGCAGGTGGACAGGAAAGTCCTGGACACCACCTAAGGGACAGGATTGCTGCACAACTGTCTGCTCCTGTCCAAATGGCACCACACCTGAGAGAGCACGACTACATTTAATGTACTTTGTTTTTTTGTGTTTTCTTTTGGCAAAACGTGGTTGTCTGGTAACTTGTGTTTTTGTATTATTATGTGCACACATACCTGATTTCATTTGTGTTTGTTAGCGAGCTCCACTTCCCACTTTAGAGAAAAGAGGTGAAATAAAACAAACCTGTGCAACGTTGATTTCAAACTTGGTTTTCCTCAATTGTCTTTCTGCATAATCCCAAATTGGAGACAAATGTCCTTACCTCTTGGATCATTCAATCACATTATAGGTGCACAGAACAAAGGTTCACAAAATGAACACAGGTCTTCTAATACAATCACTTTTGTTTTTGAGTGCAACTCTGCAAATGGTTTGACATGAGCAATTAATGCCGTAAATGGCATGTATATTTTAATCCCTTATGCTTATACCTATGAAGCGCACACGCATATCTTTATTTAAAATGCTGATATGCAGGGTTAATCTTCAGACTGTGAAAAAAACACTTTTGTTCCGTGCACAACATTACTTTGTGCAAAAGTTTTCCTTCTACATTATCAAACCCACACAGAACAATGTAAGTAACAATCACGCAAAAGCAATGTCACTCATCACCCGTCTACCTGTATTTACTATATACCCATACAATATTCAAGACATGGAGTACGTTAAATTAGGTTTATTGTCTTCCAAATAAATTATACAAGCGAACAAAAACAACTCTTTACAAGTAACATCAATAATCAACATAAAAATGGCCAATGGTGGGGGAAAAAAAATTAATCACATTTTGTAGACCATTTTTTCAAGCAGGTTGAGAAATTTCTCTGAGGCGTTCGTCCTCTTTTTCTGCCTCACTTTCTAGGCACTCCAGCACTCCCTTAGCACTTTTCCTCTTTTTTGGGGGGGGCTGCTGGGTGGTTCCAGCCTCAGACGGTGGTGAGGGGCCTGGATCATCAGCCACATTGGGGGGGGTGGGGGGAAGAGGAGCAGGAAGCAACCTCCGTATCAAATAGGATTGTGGGGTTTGCCAAGGCTGAGGCAACAAGGACAGGAGGACTAATTGAAGGCCTTGCACCTATGGCCTCATCCATGGCCATGAAGAAGGGCCATGTTGCAGGGGTTTCTTCCCCCTGATCAGTCCCTGCTCCAGTCCTTTGCCTTTTAAGTCCCTATTGCAAACAAACGCATGTTAGAAATCTTTGTTCAGCTTTTTTAAAAACAAACAAATGTTTTACATTAACAATAAACCATTTACCTTGTATTTTTTCTTTAGGTTCTCCCATTTCTTGGAGGCCTGTTTGTGAGACACATGTTGCCCAAGGTCCAGTTCCTTAATGATTGACCTGTTATCATAGCATATTTCAACAATATATATTGGTGTTAAGTCAATGACCCAAAGTGCACATTCATTACTTTCATTGCACAAAATATGAATTGAGTGCATAATATAACTCACTCCCACGCTTCTTTGGCAGCATTTCGTTTTTTGCAGAACTGGTTGTCCTTGTCCATCCTTAATGCAATAAGTGCCTTGGTTTTTACCACAGTCCCTGAAATTACAAATCACACCTAAGTTTAAACCGATTTTGTAAGTGAATGGATGTGAGATACATGAATTGACACGTGTTGTTAGTTTGATTCCGATTTATATTTGTACATCTTCAAAATAAAAATCGAATGTAATCTTGCCAAATGAAATTAACACGTGTAGAGTTCAAAATACATGTTTCACAAAGGCATGTTTTAGTTAAGGCAACGTATTAATTATCGTTTAAAAACATAACCACATGGAACTCACATTTGTATGACGTTGTTTCCTCCATGCCCGAAAAACTGTTGCACATCTGTGGAGTGAGACTATCGAGCTTGCATCCATGCAAACTCCCCGTCGGAGGCTTTTATAACCCACTACCCCTCCCCTCTGATTGCTTTGGAACAGCCCTCAATGTGGCGGACCCTCCGCGTGAACGCGCAAACGGAGGGGTAGTGTGTAGGGGTAGGGTGTAGGGCGTGGTTTGGGATTGGGCCTCTGTCTGAAAACCAGAGCCAGGTCTGCTCTGATTGGTTACTTTGCCGGCTCTGTTATGAATGTTCAACAGCTTAGAGATAACCCACCCAATGGGGTCAATTGTTTAAAATGTTGTTTTATCTTACAGCTCATAGACTGGGAAAAAACCCTAGCCTCCCTGCAGGTAGACCGAGATGTAGGAGAGCCGGAGTGGGCTATGCCGGGCACCAACGGAGGGGTGGCCATGTTGGAGTCCTTCATTGATGAACGCCTCAAACTATTCGCTACTCAACGCAACGACCCAAACATTGCAGGCCTTAGCCAGCTGTCCCCCTGGATCCGCTTTGGTAAGTAGCACCATGAAAATGAATTGTATATGGGTACATGTATGGAACATCTGTATCAACTATAGCTCTAATTAAACATTTTATAAACCCTTTCTCATCCATCTAAGCTTCACTGCCTTTCTAAATATCTAGAATAATTGGTTAGCAGGTCTTTGGTATTTTTTTAACCTGCAACTTATATCCCCACGTTTTTGTGTCTAAGTGACTAATGGGGACAGCGCATTTTAATTGGTTCAATATTGACTATTAAGCCAAAACGCTGCACCTGGCTGCTGGTAATACAGGCTTGAATTAATAATATAAGTGTTTTGACCACTGTATGTAACCCTACAGAGAAATTGAACATTTTGCTTGATTATTTTATTTTTGGGTCATGTTACTTGTTGCGAGAGGACAACATTGCGAACATGAGTGAGAGTTTGAGTAGTGGTGTCATAGTTGGATGTGTACAGTAAGTCCAACTTATTATTGTTGTTGAAAAGAAGAACCCAGAAAATCCCCAAAAAATCCTATGTAGGCTCCCTCCCATCATGTGGGTTAGACACTTTGAATAACAATCTGAGACTGTCAGTGGCAAAAAACAAGCACTTTAGTGGATGTACATTGAAAGTGCAGAATTTTCTTTCTGGGAGAAAATATTGTCCTTCCAAAATGGTGACAGGTGTCCCACAAGGCTCAATACTCGGACATCTGTTATTCAATTTAGAACTCTCTTTAATGTGTATAGAACATATGCAGTAGAGCATTACTTAGATTGCAGATTGTCTTACAAAACACCTTGCTCAAAAAACAGAAAATTCTAATTGATTTAATGTAAACCGAGATTATTCCCACTTTTGCAGAGATCATTAACAACATATATTGAGCTCAAAGTGAAAAACCATAACCCATAACAAAATAGGTTAGCTTTAAATGTCACTCATACCAATTCAGACCCTTTTTAACGTTGCCTCCTCATTCTGTCCATCACTCTTTCTTATCCTCATCCACCATCAGGTCACCTTTCAGCCCAGCGTGTGGCGCTGCAGGTTCAGAGCAGTGGGAAATGTGCAGGTCCATCTGTCGCTACCTTCATCGAGGAGTTGGTTGTGCGAAGGGAGCTGACGGACAACTTCTGCTTCTACAACGAGAAATACGACAGCGTAGAGGGTTAGTTTAGATCTCATTAAGTTGCATCCTGTTCGTCCTATTGCTGACATCATTCAGTTTCAGATGATTTGAAGTCTAGTTGTGTGAGATTCTAACCCTTAGTCAGTGTGTTACCGTCAGTAAATGTTTGTTTGCACAACTCTAATTTAGGAAACCAAATAGGAGTTACCCAATGGGAGTCAAGCAATTGACTGCTGCGGACGGGGGCAACAGCAAAATATATTTTAGCCACCTAATAACTGTTTGCTTCTGCTATATTGAGAGTATTTTCACACATTTACCTTGAGAGACACCTATGCAGTCTGTTCCTGATGCGGAACTGAAGCCGTTATATTTATCCATGCTCTTGTCAAAGCCACCAGGCTCTACTCAGAATTATTTGTATTTTAACTGGCAGAACACCGGGGTTGCAGGTCTAATGCTGACCTGTTTGTTTTGTGTGACTTTATGAATCCGAACTTTGCATAGGCACACAATAATACATTCAAAATAAACAATATAGAATATAGATATAGTAGTCCACCAACCTTTGTTTTTGGGTAGGCTTCTTTTACATGTCTAAAATGCTTATTGCTGCTCCCCCTGTCGACAGCAGTATATTGCTCTGCTTTATTCTGGCACTCCTGTCTGCTTGTCCGAACTGGGAGCCCACCGCAATATGGAAAGCTTGTAAAGGAATGATTCAAACCATGTTTATGTTTTATGTTTTATGTCTTGTCCTTATATGTTTCTTTGTAAAGCGACCTTGAGGTTATGAAAGGCGCTATATCAATTCAAGTTATTATTATTATGACGCTCGTTCTCTTTACATTTTATAAACGGTGTTCCTCAGGTACGCATGACTGGGCTCAGAAGAGTTTAAAGGCTCATGCCAAAGACAAGAGGGAGTATCTCTACACACGGGAGCAGCTGGAGAAAGCAAAGACACATGACAAACTCTGGAATGCCTCTCAGGTACCTTCTCATTCCAGTTTTGATCACCAGTCTGTGTTAAGAAATGTTTTCTTACTGCTGTTTATTTCAAATGATCTCCATTAGTACCAGATGATCACTGAGGGGAAGATGCATGGTTTCCTGAGGATGTACTGGGCCAAAAAGATTCTGGAGTGGACTTCTTCACCAGAGGAGGCGCTCTCCATCGCCCTCTACCTAAACGACCGCTACAGTCTGGATGGCCAGGACCCCAATGGCTTTGTCGGTGAGGACATGGATTAAAGTGTTAATGTTACTGATTTAGAAAATCTCACATATTTATTCACTCTGCCCCTCGTGTCCCTCCTGTAGGTTGTATGTGGTCTATTGGTGGCATCCACGACCGAGCCTGGGGAGAGAGAAAGGTTTTCGGAAAGGTCCGCTACATGAACTACAAAGGCTGCCAGCGGAAGTTTGACGTAGCTCGGTTTGAGAAAAAGTACTGTCCCAAAAACCTTTGAAGCCTAACCTTTTTTTGAGGATATGGATACAATTCCTGACATACATCTCCTGCACCATTAGCCTCAGGGAGTGTCCGTACAGCATTTCTTATAGAATATATTTTGACTATTTTTGTCAAAAACTGTTTATCCTTTTAAATTCTGATCTGATGTTCCTACCTGGCTAGTGTTGTATGCCATTACATTTTATGTATGCTACTTTTATTTTTGTCTGTATGTTTTAATAAAAATATTATTTCATTGGAAAGGCATTTTCGCTTGTATATGTTTCTTTATATATATATATACACAGTTCTCCAGATGTGATTTATGCTTCACATATAATAGTAAATACTATTAATACACATATAATAGTAAATACAATAAATAACAGGTGTGTTTGATTATTCTTTACTCAAAGGCATAAACCCACTCACAATCACTTTTAACTGATCAAATGAATATTTATTCATAATCAAGAGCAGCCCCACTTGCAGGAAATGTAATCAAACCATTATTGAGATAACAAATCTGTCAAATGGAAGAAAAATCATTGACACTAAAAAATGTGAAATAGATGAATATTACAGTATCACATGCTACTATTGGTAGGGACTGGGTCACCTTAGGGTTCCAAATGTGGTTTTACCGAGCACTGGTGTAATAAAGCACAGAAAATAAAATCACTTCTGCACAACCTAATTAACTGCACCCTCAGTGGATAAAAAAACAACCCTTCAGGTAACTCTTAACACCATTTCACAAATTACAATATGAAACCTTCCCCAACTATATATATATATCTTTTGTTTTGTTCATTACAAGGTACCGAGATATACTCAAGGTTCTTCTTTCTTGTGCTAATTAGCCGAAACCAGTTTTATGGTTCCAGGGAAGAAGAATATGACAGTGTGATATTATAACATTGTTTTATGTATATTGTAATTCACTGGTTTAAGGTCTGCTACACTTTATAAAAATGTTTTGAAGTTACTAACATACTGGCTATTTGCCTTCACATAGAATGGAAGATTTCTTAAAACGAATTGATTCGATTGTAATATGTGTTTTATTTTAAAGCTTTTATTTACAATACGCATCTAATTCAGAATGCTTTTCCTACCAGTCCATCTATATTGTCATGCCTATATAGAAGAGTTAAGGGTTTCTACTCTTTGATGATTTGTCATGCTCTGAAACAATAAGCTCCATGGAATACCAAGAGATCATAGTTTTGTAAAAATACACAGAAGTCTAGTTGCTGGTATGATTTGCTGCTAATATTTGGTTTCCCAACACAAGGTATTAGTTCAGTTTGTCCCATGCTCACATTATCACCTCAGTCGCACAGTTGCTATCACAGTTAGATGTCGAATTATATTACTTACTTTGCTAAAGACTACAGTGCCCATCTTTTCTTTTTAAAGGAATTTCCATTCCTACCTGGAATGAACTAGAGTTCATTCAGCTAGCGTCTTTGTGTGGCTGTCCTTTGAGCTAAATGCTAACTTCAGCATGCTAGCATGGTCAAAATTACAATGCTTACACATTACATTACATGTCACTTGTTAGCAGTGGCGGCTCCAGAGTATTTTTGTTGGGTAATCTATGGTAGGGCTAACCCATAGAGTGGTGGGGCTCAAGTCAGTATTTGCAATGTAATTACATACACGATATCGCCCCCCTTGACAGTGAAACGCCACGCGTGAGGTTTAGATTATTTCCCTGTCTCAATCCAAATTGAACTGTATGAAATAAAAAGGCACATTTGTCTTGTAGTAAATAAAAAGGGCGACCTGGAGCCAATCCTGCAATTTCCCCACAGGTGAAAGAGTTGACATGCTGAAAACCCAACTCCTGCAGGGGGGTCTGGGGGGATTCTCCCCCAGGAGATTTTTTGAAATACTAACATAAAATACACATTCTGGTACTCTCTTGAGAAGAAAAATAAATAAATCTATTACTACACATTTAAAAAAATGAATGCCATTTTTGTTTTTTGTTACTTTGTTCTGAAAGCTGAACCTGCTGCTCCTCACAGAGAGAAGAGGGAAGAGGCTGTGTGAATTACTTTACATTGTGGATAAGGGTGGATAGCCCCCATTGTTCTGTGTGTCAAAATGAAAGACAGCCCACACACCTATCAATCATCAAACCGTGGGGTCTTATTTCATTACGTGTTGATTTCTATCAACAAGTAATGTTGTATCGATGTATATAGAGATGTACTACAGCAAAAGTCGTGACTTCCTACAACAACACCACGCCGTTATCGTGATTCTGATTGGCCAGAAGACATGATCAAAGATGTTCTATTGAGAAGACGATCACTACCTGACAAAAGTTTTCAAAACCGTTTCTAGTCTTCGGTATTTCCAGACAAGTGGCTGCTGAAATCAATCTTACTAACTGCTGTCTGTGCAATTTACTCCGCGCGAGTTCTGGCGGACTTTATTTAGCTTACTTTAACGTCATTTTTCATGGTGGGGCTAAGGCATGGATGTATAATAAGAACTGGATACAGCGTGGGAGGCGGGGCCTCATTCATTCCTATGAGAGTTGCTCATTCGCGCATGATGATAAAATGGCCCAACTTTTGAGAGAGCGAAACGTCACAGATTACCCGGCATGCCTGAGAAGTACCCGTATGTGCGCTCATAGCGCATGCGCAACTTTAACCATGCCCCCCAAAATGCTCGTTCACATCAAGCACGTCAATTTGCGTACACGTAACAGCACCGCACGTTCATGACAGCATGGTAATGTTTGTTATGATAGATTTGATATTAACGAGGCTGCAGTTAGCAGCTAGCGGGTAGCTAGTAATTATGCTAATTTACACATCAATCGTTATGTACTTTTATATTACGCTGTAACAGGATCTAGTGATATCCAAGCAACAGAGCTTCATTTAGCATGAAATAATTATTGCACTGTATATATATATATATATATATATATATATATATATATATATATATATATATATATATATATATATATATATATACACACATACACACACAGTGCAATAAGCTTCTTAGTGCAATAAGAAGCTACAGGGACGTTAATCTACGTCGGTAATATTAACTTTATTTAATACAACATTTACGGTACAAGATTTAATCATACAGCCCATGTAGTATAATATTTTACAAATGATGAATTACAGCAAACATGTGCAATATATCCATTATTACAGCTCCGTGGGCTGGCAGTAAGGCGATATGGGTCCGTTCTTATTGTGCATCCATGGGTAAAGATAAACTCATGTAGTGCTGAACACGTAACATGAACGTGCCGGGCGGCGCGGTCCCGTGGGTTAGATGCGCGTTCATAATGCAGAGGGAAATAACTCTCAGAATAACGTTATTAGCACATTTTACAACTTGAGGAACGAATGTTTTTAATAAGGGCTATACAAGTGTTCATACTGGGTAGTTTATTTAGTTTAAAAAAAATTATCCAACGATTTACAGACCACTCTTTCCCCATGTAAGTCAATGGGAAAAAGTGTTTCCGGGCCTGGCAACCAAAAGGAAGTGTAGTACCGCCGTTTGGCCAGCACGAATATTTTCATCAGAGTCCGGCGCACTTCCTGGGGGCTTGGGCTAAGGTGGGGCTAAGCCATTTCTTGGTATGGCTGTAGCCTACCCCAGCCATACCCTGGCGCCGCCACTGCTTGTTAGACATAATGCTGTTTAGCAGGTGTAATTACGGGTGTTTAACCGGGCTGCAACCTCCAGGTCGGAAAAGGAAAGCCAGTGCGGAAGTGCCTTAAACCTGAATTATTTTTAATATCCAGCATTGAGCAACTCCACTGGTTTGTATGGAATGCCGTTTAAGCCAAAATTAAATAAATAAATAAATACATAAATAATTAAATAAATACATATATAAATACATATACCTATGAAATAAATTCTGAAATAAATAAATAAGGCGATAAATAAAAATGTACATTTAAATACACATTTATTTATTTCATCTGACTTTTATTTTATAATCCCACATTTATTTATTTCAAGAGACTTTTATTTCATAATGCCACATTTATTTATTTCAAGAGACTTTTATTTCATAATGCCACATTTATTTATTTCAGGGGACATGCCACATTACATTTCCATTTCTTATATAGAGTGGCGAAGTCCCTCCCACTTACTTCCGGGGTATGGGACCTTATTCCGGAAAAGTTATGCATTGAAGTCAATGGGGAGAGAAAACTTATCTTTCGATCCCGTTTGAATTGTGCCATGAATTACACATATGATGTTTGTCAATCTTAAAAAATCATTTCCATGTCAAAAAAGTCACAGTTTGTCGTAAAACTGTTGAAATATAAGACTATGAAAAATACGTAACTAGAAAGACTACAAATCCCAGAGTCGCGTAAGTGATGTCACAATTGTTTACCTCCACCATTCAGATACCTAAAATCAGCGCAATATAGATATAATCTATCTATATGGCGCTGGCTAAGATAAGATAACTTTAACAAGATGCCTGTGTGCTTAGTACCAGGTTGTTATTATACCAGCAATGGGTCTTGCTCGTTCTTTTGCTTCCCGTCTGATGAAACGACCAGGAGTGGCTTGATCAAGTTAGCTACCTAGCTAGTAGCTAGCACGTTAGTTAGCATTACAGCCTTGTCATTTTTATTAGCCTTAACATGAAGTAACATTAAGTAACCCAAAATGTTAAACAGTAAGAGTAGTAGTCATATTTCGTGAACCCTTTGAATAGTACTGTCACCGGTGTGATCATTCTATAATACACCATTTAATTCCGGGGGAGAAATGCTAACGCTAACGTTAGCATCGGCGATCTTTTCTACTTCATGCTATCTGCACAAATGGTTGACATTAAACATTAAAACGACCAGGCAGTTCAGAGAGAATCAAAGGAAGGCAGGCTTTGCATGACATTCTTCAGGACGTGTTTCATTGTGGTGATAGTCAATCGTTTGTTGACAAGACAGTAGTGACGGCCATCTTGGTGACGTGTGTGGTTGACCAGAGATGTAGTTCATTGAGCCTTTCACACAAACAAATGTGTTACTTCACAGTTTTACGACACATTTTAATTTTTTTGACTTGCAAAATTATCTTTTAAATTGACAAACATCATATGTGTAATTCGTGGCACAATTCAAACGGGATCGAAAGATAATCTTTCTCTCTCCATTGACTTCAATGCATAACTTTTCCGAAATAAGGTCCCATGGGGCTCAACCGGAAGGGGAGGGACTT